TGAAAAAGTAAAGCAGTCATTAATATTTCCTCTTGTAATCTTGAATTTGAAAAAAATTATTGTTGAAACTGTAAATAACTGATAAGATAATCTGTATGATATTGTTATTAGATGATGCATTGGCATCACTATACCATTTAGTATTGATATATAATTTCTTACCATTCCTTTGTTGTATTTCTCGGTTTGATATTAGTAATGCAATATGGCATATGTAGTTCCGAGTAGCATTACTCATAGACTGCGGACAGTATGACTCAGATAGTGCATCAGGAAAAAGGTCCTATAGCCCAGGCTCATATGGGTTGTTATCTGATGGCCTAAGGCTTCTCAAGGCTTCTCAGGGGTCCTAGGCTGGCTAGGCTACCCAGGATGCCAAGGGACACCCCCCAATTCCTGAGCACTCTCAGGTTGCCTGAGGCTTCCCTGGAGATCCCTGGGGCATCCTGAGGGCTCTAGAATGTGAATGCAAAATAATATTGTATATTCTCATCTCTTTCTATTCTTACTCTACTATACCTCATTCTATATATTATTCTACTCTATCTCATATTGTATTTAACTCAACTTTTTGTATTCAACTACTATATCTACAGATTATTATCAGTTATTATACATAATTGTATACTATTATATAGTAGTTTAAGCTTTGTAATAACCTAACATACTCAAGTACAGTATATCAGTATAGTACAGAACCTGTAAATACATATATAGTGTGGATACTATTAGTTATAATAAGGGTGAGCATATTTTGATTGTAGACAGCTCACGGTGAGCACATCATGTGATTTATTTTAAAAGCTCAATCCTGTATGAATCTGCAGCCAAATAAATGTTTTTATTGTGGATTTATACAATACTATTACATAGCTATATATTTGAAATATAATTTTGTGTTATATGTATTATTTAAAATACCTGTGTCCTAGAGATCCCCAGGGATCCCCAGGGTGCCCCCAGGAAGCCCTCAGGGACTCCTAGGGATATCTCAGATATCTCTCAGAGAGCCTAGGAAGCCTAGGTAGCCCAAGCTACCTAAAGTACCTGAAGGTGCCTAGGATTTGGCCTATTTCCTGAGAGTCCTCAGGCTCCCTCAGGCTTCCAATATTTGCCTGGGCTTTAGGTTATTTTCCTGATGTGGTAGTAGAATTATGTAGAACATGCTCTATGTTGTGTAGTATATAAGGCATACTTCAAGGCCAGCGCTGTAGAACAGAGCAATTAGTTATATTCAATATTCGAGTTTCACCACTCTGATCAAGCCACTGCACTGCAGATTTCTACAATAGCCTTAGCTACAAGTCAAAGCAGTAGACACAGGCTCATCATCTGACATTTGGAACTACAGCTTCATTTTTCAAAGATTTTCGAATCTGAGCAGTAATAGATCCTCTGTTTGCAAAATTTTCATTTTTTTTGTTTTATTTTTATTTCTGGAAGCATTTGGGCTGTAGGTCACTGGCTTTGTCAGCCGTAGGCGAGCCCTTAATAGCTTAATGTTGTGGAAGTACAATCCGCAGAATGTCTTCCTCCCAGGGAAATGTGCTTATCACATACCCGGGAATGGCAGGTTATGTGGGGCTTGGGTGATACTATTCCTAGTTATAAGGCAGCTTTCTGCATATGTGTGTGTCTCCTATTATCAAGTTGTGGTTACTATCTCCTGTACAGTGCTTGACTTAGTTCATTTACCCATACCCACTAAATCCCCGAGTAATCTAGTCCAGTCATCTGGAGATTCATCTACCTCAATGGTCTCTTGCCACATTTCTAAGACCATGGCTTTCGGAAGGGCTTTGCTTCCGAACTTGACCTTTCCGGTTAGGGTTACATCCAGTTGGACTGTGAGCAAAGTAATTTTTCAAGTTACTTTTTCAATTCATTCAAGTTACTTGCAAGTTACATGCAAGTAACTTGTTTTTCCCATGCTTGACAGCGGTAACTTGCCAAGGCTCGGCAAAATGTTGCTAACTTGAGCTTCACTAAGAACTTGTTATTTGCTTCTTAGTGATAAGTAAAAGGTTCAATGTAAGCTTAAAGCTACATATCACTGTTTTTACATTGCCATTAGTTACTATAAGCAAGGGCAGGCTGTCAGAGTCTGAGTTATCCTCCAGCATTTGACCTGGTGAGACTCAGTAAAATGTTAAGATCTTAAGCTTCTTTAATGCCCCAGGTGGCAAATCCTGCTACTTCCTTCCACTACATATACCCTACATTATTGGAAGGACCTTAAGGAAAGAAATTAAATTCCATGTAATGTGAATCAGAGCAAACTGCTCAATCTGCCAAGGCATGCAGCTCAACATTGTTGATGCAGAAGACAATGTTCAAGTTACCATGACCTGTGTCAACCTCCAATGGGTGACTGGAAATGTCTGTTCCAGCAGTGAATACCCCATCAGATGAAGGAGATAGGTACATACCATTGTTAAGTCTGGTCATCTTGCCATAAGAGAAGATACAAAATTGAAAAGCTCACAGGCTGTTGTGTGAAGACATGCAGGCTATTCAAGCTGCATAAGTGTCAGCTAAGCAAGGTGCACTCTCTTGTGTGAACATTTCTTCTTTTGAAAGCCAGACCTGAAAAAACAAAGAAAATCTCGGACTTTTAACTCAAAGCTGAAGCACTGAAGGTGCAATTAACATTCTACAGATTGATTGAATGCAAAATGTATGTGGATGATCCTGTCCACTCAGATTTCAAGACACTAGCAAATCAGTTTCAGTCTGAGATGCAATTGATGCTTAGCACTGAACCAGTACCAGCGTAGTCATGTATTTTCTAACTATTATTCACCAAGGTATCCTTGCACTGGCAACAACTGGTGTCCTCAATATGGACTGCTGAACAGTTACTGTCTCCAATGAATCTGGAGCTGAGGAAAGAGAGACTGCACTCAGCATGCAAGATAGCATTGTCAAGGTTGTGGATGATGCTGAAATCCAATTGATTTAAGTATTACTGACAAAGTATGGTCTGCCAAAACCAGAAAATGAAAAATTTGGGTTATATGGGAAGAAGTGTAAAGATCAGGAAAAGGCCAAGGAAACAAATGATACTATTTTGGAGTAGTTGTGGGCCATGGCCAACCAGCACTGAGGACTTTAACTTGGAAAAGTCACCCTTTGATCCTTATTATTTAAATATATATCCAAATCATCCTGGTCAAAGATTTGATTATATTCCCTGTGTCAATGTTTCTTGAATGTTTGGATGTCTTGTTGTTAATTGACTTTCACAAAGCTTCAACTTTACTACCAATTAGCGATCCATCTGCTCATTGAGAATGAGAACTGCCTGAAAAAAGCTCCCCTCACACTCTGCGGCTTTGGACAAACTTCTTGACCCAGAACTATGACACTTGTGAGCTTGATACATTATTTATCACTTTCAAAAGAAGTTATCAAAATGAGTGGAGGAGATTATACCATTATAAATATCTGGTATAAGATAAGCTGCATGAGTGCACATTATAAAATATACAGTTGTATATAGTATGTCTGGTACAAGAAAGCAATGTTGGGCTTGTACACATTCCAGGTGAGTGATATACTGAGAAGTGGAATGTTCTCTTGTCTACTTAGCTCTTCAGTCACAATTTGATAGAAATTTGAAGCCTGTGTTGACAGTGATGATCTCATCCAGCCTGGAGTAAGGTCCATGTGGACTGAGCATCATATGTGCTTCGAGTTTTGGCACCTGCGCCATGATTGGATAGCCAGCGCTCGCTGTTTAGTTGTCGACAAGTTAACAAGTTAGCGGAGTTTGAATATGAATATTTTAGATCAACAATTTCAGCAATAATAGCATGATACATGACCACAACTATCCCAACCTATTGAAAACACTTTCGGAGCACTTGATTACATTCAAAATTTGATGCTATCATACTTTCCAATCAAAATGATATAGCAGTCCCTGCAAGTGCTGAGCAGCAAGTGCCATAATATTTCGTACCAGTTTAAGCCATTCCTAGTGATCAAAGGATAATTGGTCTGAAAGATAAATTATTAGACCATGTACAGTAGCACCCACAATGAATTATTACAATTATGGTACTAATGGAGCGAACCGTTACTTTAACTATTGCGAGGTGTTCATTTTAGAGTGCAGCTAGTGTGTAAAAAGTAGCAACATTGACATCCAGCGGAATATATTTCGGCAAGTTAAACAAGTTACTTTGTCCGCGGAAAGTAACTTTGTCTCGACAAAGTAACTTAAGTAACTTAAGTTACTTTTGTAAGGCCAAGTTAGTGGACTTTGAAATTGACAAGTAACTTTGTCAGTCACCCATCCAGTTGCATGCATCTGCTTAGTCAAAATAGGAACTGATTATGGATTTCTGTTTCTATCGGTAGCTTAGTCGGGTCCCCGTTGTACTGTATGTATCACATGAGTGTTTCGTAGTTGCCAGATCGTCGCAGGGGCCTCTCTCATAACTATCTCTGTCAGCCTCGTGGCACCCGGGAGCTCCTTCTTTGCAATTTTTTAAATATGTCAATTGTGCATGATAATTTGCTTGCTGGGCAGCTTAGACTTGTCACTACTCGTGTAATTCAACTGTTTTCAACTCTTTACAAATACCAGCTTGCGGCGAAATCCACTACGGCTTCCGACTGCCGACTCCAATGCAGTTGGACCCTGGCTGTTGAATATTTGTGAATTTTGGTTAGGTACACTGAACTGCAGAGAACTGGTCAAGCATGTTGTGAATAAACGACGGCGCCAGAATGGAGGGTCCACATTGTTTGTTCCATCCAACTATTTAAGTAAAGTAATCACAAATATCCAAAGGTACAACTATAATATGGGGATTGTTGATGAGGCACACTGCGGCGTAGTGGACACGTCGAGATCGAAACAACCCGGACTCGGCTTATCCTTGACAAAGCCATTCGTAGGAAAGGAAGTACAGTCTATGATTAACACAAATATATAATAACACGTTACAGCTGTTAGACAAAAACAATTATAACGAGTTTTCTGCCAGACATTCCGACACGGGGAATCGAACCCCGGGCTATCGCGCTTTCACATTCGCTTCCTTCTGCAATAATGAGAGGCGATAATGTTAGCCACTACACCATATCGGAGATAGTGTTTGCCTCCTTCTATATACACTTATTGCTTTGTTATTGCAGTGTTCTACATGTACATTATTCCCGATACTCCGGATTCACACAAACTGTGTATTTAGTGTCATGAATGCAACCATTATGCCGATTCATACAACTATGAGCAGACTCAAGGGCAGAGTAGATATCCTGTAATTATGTACAAGGAAGAGGAAAACAGCATCGACGTCGAGTTCGGGGATGTACGGGCAGTAGGATACGTCGGGAATGAGATCCCTTGCCCTCGTCAAGGTATTCAGTTAGTAATGATACTTGACAGCAGTAGAGTGACTTGCGTGAACGTGCGGGTACGCCTTTCGAGAATATTCTATTCACACGCACAAACAACCTGCTCTTAACGCACTTTATGAGTTTATTGTATCGAGGGGTTTGATATATACGTGATGTGAGTAGTAGCGCTAATCTGTGCTCCAAAGCCTACTGCCAAAGCAAATGCAACAACTTCTTCGTGTACGTCTAATAAGGAGCAGCAGCAGCTTGGCACTGTAATTTAACAAGGGTAGTGGTCAGTTAAACAAGCATACGCGACAAGAACGAGCAACGCACGGCCTTTAACTGCTCGAGATACCAAGTGCACGAAGGGAGGTCGGCTTTTTCGAGGCACGTTGTGAACTCTAAGCACAGGGATAGAAGTCCGGGTCAGCGTATAGTTCAGATATCCCCAACGAAAAAGAAACGCACCTTTAGCCTGAACCTCACAATTTAACCCACTGCTTCGAGCCGGAGGAGTGGAAGTCGTCTCCGCAGCAGCAGGAGCAGGCGCATGGCTCGACCCACTGAAAAGCATACTAGAAATTCCATGTCCGATGGTCGAGCCTACAGCGACGGAACCTGCGGTTGCGGCCATTTGAGCTAGCATACCGGGTTGACCTGAGGAAGCAGCTGCGGCCGGGGGAGCTACAGGTGATGGTGCATGCGCAGGAGAACTGCGGCTGGATGCAGCACTGGCAGGCATAGCGGCGGTATGGGCGCCTCGGGATTGAGCTGGGACTGGTGCGGGTGCTGGACGAGCAGCGGGTGCTGAAGAACGACCGCGAGATTGACGCTGTTTCGAAGTTCAGGAAAAGGATCATGAGCAAAGAGGGACAGAATAGGACGTACTGGCATGCTTTGAAGTTATAGCAGGTGGTGGTTACGGAGGAAGTTGTACTTGGTCCGAGCGCTGACAAAACTTTTTTTTTGCGAATTCGCCCGGAATCCGGATGCCGTGACGCGCAAGCGTTTGGATAGGCGCCCAGTTTTTCTCTGTAAGTGCCTATCACTCTCTCTCCGCCGACATGACTTCGTCATCACCCTTGCTCATTGACACGTCTCCCTCTTCGTGCTCACCCTCAATATCGTCGCAAATAACCCTGCGTAGATGTGCGCCAATGCCATCCGATATATTTATACACGCTTTGAAGTGAGGTTGGACGCAAATTGAGCATTTCAGGTCCTTCAGCATCACCAAACAGGTACATAATTAGTTATACTGGACGAATCTTAATGGGCTGGGATACTGCCTTGAACACACTTGCCACCTCGTGTAAAAGCAATGCCATATCCTGTACCTCCATTTTGAACAGTTGGAAATGATTTGGTGATGCTAACACTTCTTGTACTTTCCTTGCTTTCAGCAAACTTCACATTAAAGCTGGGCTCTTGATAAAGTTCTTCTTAAACAGACAATCTAGTGGACCCCTCGCTGTTTGGGCCGCAGAACTTCTATCATCAACAACACCTGTCCTGTACAGATCCGGAAGGATGTAGCAGTACTTCGACCTCAACTGCTCCCCGTCTCAATCAGGAGATGGTTTGGGGACTAGGGCAACTCAAATACCTGTGTATTTACTCGATTCTGAGCCTTCTCGCTGTTTCTCATGACAACTACCATCTCTTCGCCAGGAATTCCTTGCCCATCCACTTCTTCGCTGCAAGTCCTTGTGGACGATTCAGACGTGGAACATATTCACTATTCGGATGGGTGGGTCCTAGCAGGAAACAAATATTTTGAGTGTAATGGAACAGTGCATGGATCTGAACCCAAAATGGGCACCCACACCACAGCTCAATTTAGTTTTGAAGGTGAGACTACATTGTTTCAAGCATCCTGGAACTCCTCAACATTGATGTTTGATATCTCAAGGTGTAGGTGTTCAAGTATTTGGGACAATTGCGCCCAAGACTATCCAAGCGTCCTCCTATCAACTCGATGATCTGGATGTTTTCAATTTCACTTTCAATGCCTCCACATGGGAGAGTACTATTTACCGAGTTCAATTTTACACATCCCCTCAACTTGAGCCTGGAAACCATACCCTGACTATCTCCTCATTGGCAGTAGGCTCTGGACCAATGTATTTGGATTATATTCTTTATAATCCAATGCAAAAAGCCACAACTTCACGCACTTTGCCATCTTCTACATCTTCAACAAGGCCGGCTTCTGCCCCCACTGCCAGACCCTTGTCGAGTCCACAGATCCATTCTCCGAGTCGGAATATTCCGGTCTCTGCCGGCGCTTTTGCAGGCGGTGTTGTTGGAGGCAGTATCATTGGGCTAGTACTCGGAATTGTAATAACATTCATGTTCTTCCGGAAGCGCATGAAAAGAAACACTCTACCAGCCGCCAGAGAAACCACCCATTCCCCTACATACTCTGGTTCGTCTTCCTCTCCCACTCCGAAGAGAGCCACCTGCACTTCAGTTTTCAGCAATAGTGATTCAGCTACAGAGTCCACCTTATCAAGTCGGACAACCGATTATAATTTCCAGGCCGCTAGGAAACATCAGTCTGTACCCTCGACTGTGATTACATCCAGTACTGGTCCTGACAGGCTATCATCCTAAAACAGTGTCTCGAGGCTGGTGTCATAATATGAGTTTAATAGATAACCTTTATGTGATGGAACACCAGCATCTGTGTCTAAGTAGCGAGGCCTAATTTTTTATTTTATTTTATTGACAACTCCAGCCCATTAGTAAATCCTCGCTGCTATTATCTTGCATTTAAACGCAGCACAGCAACTGACGCCAAGCCTAATATTCCTAGGAGAGCCACGGGCTAGATTTGTACCTGGCGCTTCACTATAAGTACTTACTCAAGGAGCAGCTTTAGGGTTTCCAGAGAGCTCCAGGTTACATTATTGACCCCAAGCTTTCTCCTCAGTTTACTAGTATTGAGTAACCACCCAACTCGGAGGACTATGATGCACCTGATATCTTTTCCTCAAATCTCAGATACAATGGCTTTATGGGGATAGATCTTAGAAGCAGAACTATCTCATATCAATTCAAGTGTACAGGAAGTGGAACTGACTAGACGAGGTGAAGCATCATCTCTACATCTGCCCGTCTCAGTCCCGCCTCCATCTATTATTAATTGTATCTACTCATGCCGCTCGCGGGCTTTTGTTAGTCCATATTTCGTGCTCGAGCTGGAGGCCCCTGTCGCTTCTTACCTGTAAAAGCCTACTTCTCCTTATATTTTGTCTAACCTAGGATCAAAGATCACGATAAGAAATACGAGAATCAGATAGAGTAGGTTTTCTCGTTTCCGTGGACTGAGAAAGGTATAGATGCTGTTCCACAGCACAGGATATCTGTTACACTAGTACCACGAGGTTATCATCAAGACTGTATCGATACGATTTCACAATTAATACATAGACTTGGGTTCACGAAGTTTTTACCCTTTCAACCTCTGTCTCATGACGGCTACCACATCGGCTTTGGGTTTTCCTTGCCCAACAACCTCGTCCTCACAGATCCTAGTGGATGATTCAGATGTTGCGCGCATCGACTATTCAAACGGGTGGGAAATATCAGGAAACCCAAATTTTGAATGCAATGGAACGACGCACAAGTCTACCCACCAAGCGGGCACCTTGACTACAGCTACATTTAGCTTTGAAGGTGCGTCTGGACTCTGTGGTGGTTCCATAATGCCATGGACGTACTATACTCTCAGGCCCCAGCGTTCAAGTATTCGGAACCGTAGGGATTAATGGTGACCCAACATCCAGCTACCAGCTTGATGATCTGCCTCCTTTCTTGTTCAATTTCAATGCCAGCACACTAGCGACAAGAGAAAGTATTAACTACAGAGTTCAATTTTATGCATCTCCTCAGCTTGAACCTGGAAACCACACCTTAGTCATCTCTTCACTAGGGGAAGGTGCCCAGCAGATGTTTTTAGATTATATTCTTTATAATCCAATAACAAGTGCTCAAACCAGGTCAATCAATTTACCATCTTCCACTTTCTCGGAGACTTCTCCCACTGTAACTCCTCAGTGCACATCCATCATCTCTGCCCGAGCGTTGGCGGGGAGTATCGCTGGAAGCACTGCTCTTGGATTAATTCTCGGAATTATTCTATTATTCTTTCAGAGGCGTAAAAAAAGTGACTCCCACTACACAACTACTTCAAATTCAGCAGGTATAAGTTCTTGATTAACTGCATTCTCCTTAGAAGTCTCATACTTATCTTACATATTAGTTAACACTCCTGTTTCCGCAAGCCCGACCTCCTCAGCAACCCGAAATTCAGCTGCACACTTGACCGTACCTCATATCCAAGGTAGATTGTGCCTCGATTGTGACTGTGTCAATTTTCAGACAGCTAACCAGTTGAATCCCTTAGAAATAATGCATAACACCGACGTTGAGATAAGATCCCAGCGTCCGCCTACATATGTTACTTTTCAGTCCTCCCAGTCATAATGAATCTATGTTTAACGGATAATAACGCTTTACCGTCCTCTAGCCTCTCCATCGCTAAACTGGCGGAATTATTGTATACCGTTAGATCAATTATGACGGCTGTGTAACAATATTGATGGATGTACTGCCATGCAATGCCTTTTGATTTAATCCCAATACCCTCGTTCCCTTACAAGTAATTGTAATTCTCGCCCAACACACACCAAATATTATACGGCCATGTAACTACATCATGTTATTACATCCTAATCACG